ATATATATATATATATATATATATATATATATATATATATATATATATATATATATATATATATATATTGGTTGTCTAGATATATAAAGTGCTCAATATACTAAAAGTATAGCAGAGCTTATTAGATTGTCTATATCTTAAAATTAAATATCGCTACTCTGAATTTCACGTCCTTTTATATATATATATATATATATATATATATATATATATATATATATATATATATATATATATATATATATATATATATATATATATATATATATATATATATATATATATATATACTTCGAAACCATAGCAGCACAATATGCAATGTTGAATAAAAGAGTATTTTACTGCAGGAAACAACGTCATTGCTCAGTAATTAGAAACATATCTTCATAACAGGTGGTTATTGTCTACGCGACTTTGCGTCTTAAACAAGTTGCTGGAACAAACTTAATCTAAATTGATGTTAAATTCTATCTATTAACTAGATTGGATAGTGTCCTATATGTGCTTATACTTATAGAAAAGAAACCTAATTTTAGCTGTGTGGTGACTTTCTCGACAGTATTTTTGAAAACAAGTTGAATGTTATTTATGATGGATACATCGGAAGAGCAGCGAAGCATTTAACGAATATTGTTATTACCTATCAAAACTGCGATTATATATATATGTAATTGAGCAAGACATCGCTGTTCTGACTTGGAGTTACTTTCGTCGGCGTTTCATTACAGAAATTTTGCATCAAGAGAAATTCTGACCGGGGTGCTATTTTATCTCAAAATATATTGACCGGATATTTTTGACAGGGCCATTTGGCGATCGTACTTATTTACCCAAGAAATTCTGACGCTCTTTGACGTTATTATAGAAACTGCTTAGACGAAAGACTTTAACTCACGGCTTCAAGGTATATATACGTTTAAAACAGAGATACTTGCAAATTCATCGGTAGTTCTACTAAAGATAAATAAACTATTATAGTTTCCTTGACAACTTTGAATTGACGATGTCTGTGAGGAAACGTTGTGTAACATTTGGACGAATCGTCGTATTTTTGGTGGATTCTAACGCAAGAAAATTGGTGACGTTTATTGCATTGAAGACGAAGAGAATTTCAAACAGATATAGAATATATTCGCCATTATGATTTTTTATATCTTTATAGAGTGATTAAAGGGTATTTTAGCCAGCTTCATTTACTTTCGCTAGCAACAAATATAACTGGTTTTTCGTATCTCTGCATGAGGAGGATGGTTTTGAAATTTTGCTAGCTTCATTCTTGAGATATACTGTATTTAGTTAACAATGTTTCACGTGAGAATTACCTCGTCACATATTACAAAATGACTTTTAAAAAAATTTCAAGATCTCGGGATATACATCGAAATAATAAAATCGTGCATATGTGCATGTTATCAACATACTAGAAATATATGTTGTATCTCGACAAATTTAAATCAATTATCTATTAGAGTCATATAAAAGTTTTTCAGATATGCAATTATAGCTATTATAAGCCCTGTTTCAAACGTCGCGATTCTCGTGTGCCGAACGCATTAACAGGTCCGACCAAAGTGAAATTGAGGTTTATTGTTTGTCCGACCCGAGTGTATTGGTGTCCGACCGAACTGTAGCTTTGTCCGACGTAAATCAAAATGCACCCTAGCCCAGGATTAGAGGCTTGTATGTTAAATGGAAAATCAGAGTACTATTGTATATAAGGAAATGTTGTTTTAACGTAGTCGAGCGCGGGGCGGCGAGCGAAATGGTGAAGTGGAAAACGGGCTTAAGTTGTCGAAGTCTTTTTTAATACTGCTGTTCTGGCAAGCAAGTTAATTTGGCTTGAAAATAAGTATGAAAGAAACGAAGTATTTAATATCTTTACAACATTTACCGTTTATTCATTGTGTCGGCATTCAGACTTATTTTCGAGTCAAAACTGAACTGAAGGTCATCGGACATATGTCCGACCCAAACTCAACGTCACCAGACATTTTGTCAGACGGCCCTGGAAAAGATATTTTAAGGCCTGATTAAAAACAATAGATAATCATGATATTTGCTGTGTTGGTGTAATGTACTCAGGTGAATATGATGCTTGTGATGTTACTCTGAGTGTATATCCACACCGGGCAAGCTTGAAAAATATGCCTGACCACGGTGGGAATCCAACCTAGACTCAATTCCAAAACAACGCATACTCGAACCGACCTGACCGCGTAGCTTGGCAGAGCATTGGGCTAGTATTCTAAAGGTCGTAGGTTCAATTCCCATCGTGGCCAGGCATATTTTTCAAGCCTGCCCGGTGTGGATGTACACTCAGAGTAACATCACAAGCAAATAGATAATCAGCTGGTATTGTTCCTAATGCGTTCGGCACGTGAGAAGCGCGCCGTTTGAAACGGGCCTTATTACTTTCAATTTATTTATGGTGGAATTTCAGTGTATAGGCTATAGCAATTTAATATAATTATGAAACAAGCAAAAGATTATAAACCATCAAATACAATATAATATAATTTAACATATAACATACCCCAGAGTAATCAACAAATAACAAAATGTCATCCATAACTAAGGATCCAATTCCAAGACAGCGACAGTAGATAGTACGCGAGACCGTTTCTGCGTGGGCGTGCTCCGTGTCGTGTTTCCTGGATTGCGTGCTGCACGCGGAGATTGAAATGAAATCCTTTTACCAGTCTGTCGTGCTGTAGCTTGGTTTAAACGATTGCTGGCAAGGTTAGATAGTCTGCTTTGCATTTCTTGTGTCCGCTAAAGAAGGTCATGTATTAACAGTGTGAGATGCTAATCGAAACGAACTTACGTTTACTTTATATTCTAACAGTAAGGATCATCTCTTATTGATCCAGTGTTACTACAGGAGGAAACCTAACCTAAACTAACTTTATGATAGTTCTATCAGTTCTAAACTGTTCTTCCTAGAGGTCCAGTAAGGATCATCTCTTATTGATCCAGTGTTACTACAGGAGAAAACCTAAACTAAACTAACTTTATTTATGCTGGATAGCTCTATCAGTTCTTAACTGTTCTTCCTAGAGGTCCAGTAAGGATCATCTCTTATTGATCCAGTGTTACTACAGGAGGAAACCTAAACTAGACTAACTTTATTTATACTGGATAGTTCTATCAGTTCTAAACTGTTCTTCCCAGAGGTCCAGTAAGGATCATCTCTTATTGATCCAGTGTTACTACAGGAGGAAACCTAAACTAAACTAACTTTATTTATACTGGATAACTCTATCCGTTCTAAACTGTTCTTCCTAGAGGTCCAGCAAGGATCATCTCTTATTGATCCAGTGTTACTACAGGAGGAAACCTAAACTAAACTGACTTTATTATACTGGATAGCTCTATCAGTTCTAAACTGTTCTTCCTAGACTCTAGAGGTCCAGTAAGGGTCATCTCCTATTGATCCAGTGTTACAACAGGAGGAAACCTAAACTAAACTGACTTTATTTATAC